ATTGCACTGCAACTCACAACTGACAACCCACTGAAGCTAAGCAGGTGTGAGCCTGGTCAGTACCTCGATGAGAGACCTCCTGGGAAAACTAAGGTTGCTGCTGGAAGAGGTGTTAGTGGGGCCAGCAGGGGGCGCTTACCCTGTGGTCCATGTGGGTACCCCAGTTTAGTGACCGGGACACCTTACTGTAAACAGGCGCCGTCCTTCGGTGTAACCCCGGAGTCCTGAGCAAATTTCCCATTGGCCCTTACCAATCATGGCCTCCTAATAATCCCCCTATCTACAAAATCCCAGGGCGTTTTTCGAAAAGAGTAGGGGTGTAACCCCGGCGTCCTGGCCAAATTTCCTGTTGGCCCTTACCAATCTTGGCCTCCTAATTATCCCCCTCTATGAATTGGCTACATTACTCTGCTCTCCTCCCCACTGATATCTGATGTGTGGTGAGCGCCCTGGTGCTAGGCAGGTCTCAGGACATCCGAACATCAATGCTGAGCGAGGACAGAGTGCAAGACCTGGAAATATATAGCCCAAGGGAAAGAGAGGGACAGGAAGAACAGCAGACCGGAAACTAGGGACAGGACAGAGAAGGAGCGCCCTCTGGCTGCAGAGGGCGTGACACATCCAAGTTCCAATTCTCTACCTATTCCATTTATTTACTTAAATTGACTATTTAAGTTAATTAGCATGTGTTTTGTGTGCATGGGTGAGGGGTTTACTTCCTGCTGAAGGCTTCTACTACACTCACACTGCCTCTGAGCCAGGTTAATTTTACTAATTGACTGAGCGGTCGAAAATAGATGTATTTAATCGTGTAATCTATCATTTCTTTTCTTGTTGAAGAAACGGTACTTGTGACTTGAAATTGCAGAATAAGATTTGATTTGAAGTTTAACATAAACGTGAGTATTTTAAGTGTCATTAAGCAAACCTCAGCTATACATATAATGGATACAATCTAGTCATTGCTTGTGAAGCACATATTGGAGTTCTTTGTTTTTTGTTTTCTAACCTATCCTCAACAATCACCCATTAGAAATTTTATTTTTGTACACTGTCTTTCCTCTGATTGAAAATGTGGATTTATTTCTTGCACTGGGTATGAGACTCTCTTTGCACAGGATGGTAGTTTACCAGACATTGAGGAAGAAAAAAAAACCTCTGACAGCAGGTCCCTTGCTTCTGAAGTGTCTTGCTGTTTCACCTCTGCTTGTTTTAGTCTGTCATGTGCGTCTGTCTAAAGCAATGCTGTTCTTAACAAGTTATCCTTGAATGTCTTCTGGGGATGAGGAAAAGCTACATGTTTAACATTACTCATAAGAAAATCTCGCTTTTCAGCCTGCTGTTGTTGACTGTTCATAGTAACTGATATCTTAGAATGCATTTGCATGTTGTGCCTTATTCTGTGTTAATAGATTGAGTAAGAAGAAATTGCAAGGCCTCTATATTGTATTTTTTAGATAGTTACAATGATGTTGTTATGAAGCCTGTAGAAATCTTGTCTTTCCATTTCTCTGTGTTATAGTGAGGTATGTGGTAGTGTACACTCTCAGAAAAATGTACTTTGTGTCTATTTCAATGTGTTCTTTCAATGTTCTGAAACCTAGTATTTTATATTATGCTGCACATTAGTAGTTAAACAGAAATACTGCCAAGTAAAACAGGTCGGGGCAATGTTGGACATTTGGGGCAATTTTGAGACGGTAATTAACTTAGCCAGCATGTCTTTTGATGCAACCTCCCAGGATCACAGAAGAAAAACCTCCCAGTCCAGAATCAAAACAAGGACTCAAGAGCTTTGAGGCAACAGCACTTACCACCATGGAACTCTTACCCTGCAACCGTTGCATAAAAATACCCACCACTTCACTGTTCCACTGCTTGTACATTTGAATTCATTCGTACCTCTAAAGACCTCTATAGACCTCTATAAATTGGCTTCATTACTCTGCTCTCCTCCCCACTGATCGCTGGTGTGTGGGGAGCGTTCTGGCGCACTATGGCTGCCGTCGCATCATCCAGGTGGATGCTGTACATTGATGGTGGTGGAAGGGAGTCCCCATTACCTGTAAAGCGCTTTGAATGGAGTGTCCAGAAAAGCGCTATATAAGTGTAAGCAATTATTATTATTATTATTATTATTATTATTAATACCTGAAATCTAAGAATGGTGTATCAGATCAAATTAAATTGAATAGCAAATAAATATAAATTTCAATTTATGTCATAATTTCCAAATATAGTATATCAATAATGGAACAGATGGAAGTAAAGAAATAGTAAAATAGTAGAGTTACAATGAGAGTTACAGTATAAAGACAAACATAAAGATGATGAAAGAACACTGTATTACAGTATTAAACACAATGCTTTGCATTTATCTTTTTAAATTTCCTCAAAGTCAGCTAGTTTTAAAAAACAATAGGAATGTATTTGTTATTTTCCAGTTGTATTTACCCTTAGGGAAACTTTCATGCATATATTATCCTTCCAGAAAGCATTTCTAATTACAAAATTATTACCTGATCATCAATTGTGCTCTCGCATAAATTCCAATATATTCAGCCTGACTGTGAAGTCAGAAACCCTATAGGAGTTGAGATGAGAAAATAAAAAGGTAATCAAAAGAAGGGATAAAATCTGAAAACACACCCTAGGAATACAGATAGCCAGTACTGTAGGTGTTTTATAATGGTACCTGTCAAAATAGATACACTAAAATAATGAGTTAGACTAATTTAGCTAATTAGTGGAATCTAGTGAAATTATATACAGTAGATACAAGTACAGTACATTAGTATTCAAAATAAGATCAAAGACTAAATCACAAAACCCTGGCACACTTAATCACGATAAATAAACAATCTCTCTCAAATGTGTTATATTGCAATACATCATACTACAAAAAACACCTTTCCCATGTAAAATGCTTAATGCACATTAGCATAAAAATATACAGAGCATTACTGTATTTTTCTACATATTTGACATGCACAATTGTCATCTCTCACTAGACATATCAATGATTTTACTTACTGTGTTTACAAACCTAGATATTTTGTTTTACTTTGTAATAGAGCACTAGTATAAAAAACAGGTTAAGGTGCTTTGTATACAGGTCGGAAAAGAAAGTCGTAACAGTATCAGTTTTAAATGGACTAAAATATAATGTACTGTATAAGAATAATCTTACATCAATCTTTGTATAAAAATCTGTATTTACATTCAATGTAATTTTAGATTTAAAAACAATGCCAAGATATATCTATTAATTGTTTATGGCCACATGACTTACATTCTTCTGCATAAAAGCAGTCATAACTTCCTTATTTTTTCTGGTATTTAAAAGCAAATATTCAAGTTTCATCGAAAGTTGACGTTTCAGGAAGAATTTGAGCTGGGATTAAGGCTTCTTTTTATGGCTAGATTACTAAAATTTAGTAAATTTTATTAGTGATAAATGTCCCAATAGGGTTAAACCCGAGTTGTTGTCAATAACAATACTGGTATACTGTATGTCCCAGAATCAATGTTTGATTTAATGGAATTATGGTTATTTTAACAAATGGGTTTGATATTTAGGTTACCTTTTATTTCCTCTGAAGTACATATTACATAAGAACATATTAAATAAGAAAAGTAGTAAAATATTCTTATGCAAGTGATGTGAAGCAGAAATATCACAGCTTAGCCACCAAAACCAAATTTTATTAGTGTAATAATGTTTAGGAATGCTTAAATAATTGCCAAAATAAGATACCAAAAATGTATCTAAAAATGCCTTAGTGATTAACCAGTAATCAAATTTAAATTGTTTGGCTTTGTGTTGTATAAAAAATGAAAGTTCTACAGTACATTGAGTTGTGTCTATAATTAAGGTGAGAATTTAAGATGCATATAAGCAAGAAATAGACACGTTTGTAATTCTCTCATTGTAATCTCATTTTGCTTAACTGAAAAGCCATCCTTCAGATGACAAACATTTCAGTAAACACATTAGAATTTTCCATCAGAATTCACATGCTCTGGAGATTCAGTTTGTCTACAAATTGCATCTTCATTGTGTTATTAAGGAGCTCATTTATTGTTTGTACACAAACATGCGTGTGACTGTCTGACAGGCAGAATTTAATCACTGTCCAAGAACAAAATGATACAGTATATGGTGAACTTTGGATAGCTTTACAATGATGTCTAATGGTGTAAAATTATAATTTGCTATCAAAGCAATATTTCTCAGAGATTTGTTCATCACTAGTTTTATAGAGCTGCTTGTTAATGGAACCAACACAGAAAAATAAGTACTCACATAATAAAATTTTTCTTCTTAATAAATGATTGCAGATATATGTCTTTGCTCAAGATACATGTTTGCTCAAAAGAATCTTGGCATACAGTAAATGCTGTTATTATCTATACTGATATTATATACTGTATATGAACTGCAAAATTCACAAGATATTTACAAATTCTTTCTGACCATGCATTTCTATGGGTTAAAAATTTATGACAGTAGTTGAAAAAAAAGTTTTCTTGTATTTTGTCATTTATGTCATTATTAAACTCATTGGTTTTTATTTCAGAACTCTGAGCATACTGTTTACGCAGCTGGTACATTTTGTCTTTAATGCTACGACTTAAGAAATCATTTGGATTTTTTATAGATGGAGTTTGTAAGATTTATATATTCATTTATAAAGGAGGAGGAGTAGGAAAAGAATCACAGTTAATTAACTGTTTAATTAAAATCAGCCACTGACCTGACATAGCCTACAAGACTGATTTATATCAGAGTCCTGTCCTGCAAATAACCAAATTTAACTCAAAAATGAAAATGCAGTGTACAATATTTGACTTTGCCACCTTGAGGCACGTATGGACACCAGGACCCACACCAGGGTAGTTTGACCTCTGGGCAAAGAAAATGGATGGGATGCAGTCATCTTCTGCCTATGGCATAAACCTTGGATCAACAATCCTTAGTTTCCCGTTCTGTTTTATAGGTTTTTCTCCTGACATCCACACCCTCCTCAAAGAACAGAACAGGACAGCAAGCAGGTAAGTGAATATACTTGTTTCTTTTATTCCTTTAAAATTAATCAGGCAGTCAAGAAATTCTCAATCAAAAAATTAACAGGGTGGTCAGTAATATCTGTTCCGCAGAAACTGAATCAGAAAAGTTAAAGCTTCAATCCCAGGGTCAGCCCTGAGGTGAGAAATACAGGAGAGGAGGAGAAAAGAGAACAGCCCCGTCAGAAAGTGCTATGTTTATTCATGTACTGTAAAATTTGCCTCCTCTTCTCTTTCTCACACTCCAGCCCCATGGAGACACTCTCCACTTTCCATCCCACAAATCCCCCTAATTCCGATGCTTATCTGAAACAGGCTGCAGGTGTACTGATCAATCTCTCTCTATTTTGCTGGCAACTCCCCAGTGACTACTTGATCCTTTCTTCAAAACGTGAAACTCCTCACTACCACGGAAAATCCGATAAAAATACATTTTTTTTAAAACCAAGTTCAAGAAGAGAATGACAAACCAAAACACCCCTGTGCAAAAGTAGCAAAGAAAATCTTAAATACCCAAAAGCAAAATCCAGTTTGTTTCATCTAAATCTGCCAATTTCTTCATTTCCTAATGCCAGAATTACCAGGTGCTCCCAATGTTTTCATTAACACCCCATTTTCATTTTCTTCCCTTTTAATGGCAATTCTTTTTCAGATGCTTCTATGTTACTTAGCATGGCTCTTCAGTCCTATTGCTAGAAGTCTTTCTCTTTCTGAAATTCTCTTAAACAAAGGGCTCCTTTTTGATGTTCTCTCTTACAAAGCCTGAATCTCTTTTTAAGGTTCTTGCATGCAAAATTATTTCTCTTTCTCAAGTTCTCGTTCTCTCAGGGAAACAGACCCCTTCCTGACATTCTCTTTAGCCAAATAAACACTCTCAAGCTGATGGATTTAAGGGTTTATAAAAGTCAAGTGAGGAAAGAAATAATGACCGAGATCCTAAGGGTTAGAAATGGCCAGTTCGAAGGACTAAGGAAAAGCAAGTACACAGTACGAGTACTACAGTACTGTAACTGACATTACATAATCTCATCTATTCTTATTGAAAAAAGAGAAAGGAACTGGTGAAAACAACAACCAGTAACTGATAGAACAAAACAATAAATGGAAAAAAAAAACAAAATAATACATTCTTACTCTGATGAAAATATTGTGCAGAAAAGAAAATGTGTGCCATCAGATTTAAGTGAGATTAAGGAAAGCCATGAGCAATGTAACCTTCAAATGCATCTAGGGTGGCACCATTACAGGTGTTAATATTGCTTCAGGAAAAGGAAAGTACATATCGGCAAAAAAAGGTCTTGCTGGGCATGCAGCTTGTAGTGCTTTTCAGAGAACAAACAACAAATTGGAAACCAAAAATGAAACAGTGAGATGATCAAACCTGTAAACAATTTGAACTGTTCAGATGGAATCAGTAGTAGTTTGTCCAAAGTGGTATAAGCAGGTTTAAGTAGTTCAGGTGGGTGTTTCCTTTCTTATCTTTTCAGCATGGAATAAACCTATTACTTGTTCCTAAATCGGGTTTAGTACTATTCCAAATATCGGTGGACATTAAAAAAAAAAATTACTTTGCCATCAACTAAGCATCATAGAGCAAGAGGCAAGAGAGCCCCTCAGAACTTTTTTTTTCTTTCAAGCAAAGCACTCAACACACAAAGAAAATAAATCCTCGATTCTTCAATTTTTTTTTCTTGCTTGCAATAACACAAAAAATGTTTTAGCACTTCACCGTGCTCATGGGACATGGATATCTCCTCCCATGGACAAGCATGTTGGTGAATGCGGACAGTGTCCTGTCCCCATGGTATAACAAGTCTGCAGAGACACAGGGATGAATCAGTCCAATTGTTTCTCTGCCAGGGAGGTTGGGGCCTTGAATAAAAATGAAGGTACCATGGCTGCCAATATATACAGCAGATTCTGAGCCACCATACCATTCCCTAAGGAATTTATCACGGATTGAGCAGGGATTCGTCTTCCAGAGTGACAGTGACCCTAAGAACACAGCCAATGTTGTGAAAACATATTCAGAACATAAGGAGGCTGATGAATGCTCACAAAGATGTCGTGACCTTCAGAACATCCTGCTATGAGCATCATCGAGACAATATGGGATCGCATGGATGCTGATAAAATTAAACAGCAACCTGGATGAAATTTGGAAAGCAATGCAGAGTATTCGGAAAACATTCCACATTTGTTCTTGATAATTTGTATGGGAGCATGCAAACAAGATATTAAGCACTGTATAAAGCAAAGGTTCACTTAGCACATATTAAAATTCTGCACAATGTTATTCATTTGGATTTGCATATTTCTCAAACAATAAAATGTGCTTGTTTGTGCATATTTGCTTAATGTAATTGAAATTAAACTTTGTCCTCTGTTTCCATAATTATTTTCAAAACTGTATAATTTATGTTTCAGTTCGTTCACTAGATTGTTGATATGGATTTGTAAGTGAGATGAGAATCTATAATGTGACCTAGATATTTAAACAATATTATTATAGTTAAAGGCTTGCTGTAGATGATTATACTGTAGGTACTGGAGTAGTAAAACACAGTATGTGGCGATCTAAATTACTTAAATTAATTGTTTTAGAGTTTTGAATTAAGCTAGTGTTAGAATTAAGGTGAATATTAATCCTATGAGTTAATGCATCTGTGGAATAATAATGTGAGTATTATCAGTATAGAGAAGAGAATGACAATGAGTGCAGATATCTGACATTTGACAAATCATTTATATATCAGTGTAAAAGAGAAAAGCGAAAAAAGAAAAGCCAGGTACGAAGCCTTGTGGTTCCATTTGAGACAATTTTGTCTGATGTCAGATGCATAACCACTTATTTTAACAATGTGGATACTTCTGCCATAATAATCACAGTAATAAAGACTGGAGATATGTGAAAATCTTGAAAGATTGTTTATATATAAACACTATTTGTACTGTTGATGATAATGTTTTGATCCGTATTTTAAAGCTAACATGTAGTTTTAAAATAATCTTTTAGATTAATTCAAATGCTATTTCTAATGTACTGTTCTATTTACAAAAACCCAATGGTTCAACAGGAGTAATTTTGTGGGAGAAGTCATCTCCCTTGAAATGTAATTGTATGGTTTATTTTCCTTCTTCTCTAATTAATCCTGCATAATCAGAAATATGAGCCTAAAACCTGTCAACAGTAAGTGCCCAGCTTGAATTCCCAAGATGGTGTTAAAAGCATATTTACACTCTTGTCTTCTTGCAAGATGTAGCCTGACAATATCCAGCTTTGAACTCTCTGACTCTCTTATCTAAGAAGTTCGACTACATCATTAAAAAAGTTTATGCCTTGTGTACCTTGCAACAGCTTTCATCCTCTTCCAATGATGTCCCATTTTGTTGAATTCCATTGATATATGCACAATTATACCGGGAATATTTTTAGTCAAAACTTGAACATTCAAACTGAACACTTTCCTGGGTGAAACAAGTTAAAGTCAGCAAAAACTGCAAGAAATATAAAAACCTAAAATATGTTGATTGTAAAAGTAACCAATTCCTTGGCTATGGCAAACCTAAATTAGTTCAGGTGCACAAATTACTTAGACATGTAAGTAATTAAATGGGCTTTGTTTGTATGCAATAATACGATTAAATACATTAAATATCTGTGACTGTAAGGTCCCTCGTTCTGGTAACAAAAAAAACGAAGAAGCTTTCAGAACAACTCAGGGATCAAGTTAACTCGGGGATAAAGACTATAAATACATTTCAAAAACATTGAACATCCCTTTGAGCACAGTGAAATCGATCATTAACAAGTAGAAAGTGTATCATACCACCCAGACACTGTAGATGCGACTGAGCACCCAGGCACTTGTGAAAAGCCAATGCTCATTTGTGTGAGTAAGACATCCTTACCAAACCGTTCAAGCTGACTGTATCAGAAGGAAAGTACTGGATCTTTCTTAACAGGTGTTTATTCTTGGTGACATGCATATAAAGGCATTTAAATGGCTGACAGAAAGGGAATATGTAATTCCCTGTGGATTTCCAGAAGGCTCCAGTCTAATTTAATATTGAAACAAGGAAGTGGAAGAAAACGATAAGATGAGTAAAAAAGGCTCTTAGAACTTAAATCAGAGAGGAGGAGCATCTGACAGGCTTGAAGGCCCACATGTCAGGTCAAACCTAGAAAACTCTGAGATTACAAATTGAGGGAGATTCAAAAGTAGGTCTTTTCATTTATTCTATCTGTGCTTTGCTTATGGAATATTGCTTTAATTAACATGCATGCTAGCATGCCTCAAGAAAGGAGATAGGACTTTAGTTACAGAGGTTTTCCAGCTTAAATTGATTTGCTTCTATATACTCAAGAATCCAATGGTTTCCATGCAGAGATTGTTTTGTGTATGTACTACATTTCAATTCTGAAGAGTCTAAGGGCACACAAATAGTTTCATGTGCTGATGGGGATGAAAGCTGCCTTCCCTAATGCATATTCAGATGTAATGAGGACTCGATATAAATATCATGGCAGTTCATTCAGCATAAAATATACTGCCGCAGTCTGACCCCTAGAAAAGAAGCTTGTTTTAAATTATGTTTTTTGCCTGTAGTCTTACGATGTCCTGAAAATAAGCCATGTTGTCTTTTATACTCTTGAGTATATTTTCTTAGCTAAGAGTCTGGGATGTGATGAAAATAAAGCTTAGGAGAACACAGAAGGCAACATGTTAAAGATTCCCCCTTGTCTATTTTTACCCTTATTAGGCACTGCATAAATTCTGGGAGTCTTGGTCCATCCATCTTCTAAACATCAGAGTAATTGTATACGTGTTAAAATAAAATACCCACGCTTTAGCTCAAGGTGATCTCAAGTAAGTGTAGCCTCAGGGGACTTAAGTATAAGTGAGTGAGAGCTCAATGTATTCGATAGAAAAACATTATTTAAGATAAAATGATCACTGTTGGTCAATGTCTTAGTACAGAATGCA